AAAGTAGATTAGCTCATTTCTGGAAGTATCGAATTTTAAAATATTACCTAATTTTGCGAAGCAGATTATCATAGAAAACGGGAAATTTGTATCACAGAAAATGGGAAATATTCAATTTACTTTCCTCGAAAGATTATTTTTCTACTTTTTCGAAAGTAGATTATCGACTTTCCTGGAAGTAAATCATCGAATTTGGGGAAAATATTACCAACTTTATTACACAATTAACACAAAAAATGGAAATATCTACTCCAAAAAGCTAATATCTACTTTCCCGAAAGATTATCTACTTCCAACAAAAACAAAAACAAACAAGAAAAGCAAATATCACTTTTTTATCTACCTTTCCGAAAGTAGAAAATCTACTTTTCGAAAAAGTAAATAACGATTCTCAAGGAATTTAACACACCATCTATGAAAAATGGAAAACACCACTTCCGAAAGGCTATCTACTCTCCCGAAAGAATTTTACTACCCTTCTGACTACTTTTCCGAAGTAAATCACAGAAAAAGGAAATTTAATAAAACTAGAAAATTAAATTTCCATGTTTACACTTACCGAAAAGTAGATTATTCACAAAAAACACTTTTAGTAGACATTGAAAACGGGAAATTTGTATCATAGAAATGAATATCTACTTTTCGGGAAAGTAGATTATGGACTTTCCTGGGAAGTAAATTATCGACTTTTGAAAAATTACTCATTCTTTGCGAAGTAGATTATCATAGAAAACGAAATTAGGTAATATTTCCCAAAAAGTCGATAATCTATTTACTCAAAACTCGACTACTTTCCCGAAAGTAGATAATCTACTTTTCGAAGAGTAGATAACCAACTTACACGGAAAGTAGATATTTCCCATTTCTATGATAAAATTTCTGTTTTCAAAAAACCAACCAAACCATTTTCTATGATACAAATTTCCCGTTTTCTATGATAATCTACTTCGCAAAATTAGGTAACATTTCAAAGTCGATAATTTACTTCCCAGAAAGTCGATAATCTACTTTTCCCGAAAAGTAGAAAGTATCTACTTTTCGGGAAAGTAGATAACCAACTTTCCGAAAGTAGATATTTCCCATTTTCTATGATACAAATTTCCCGTTTTCATGATAATCTACTTTCGCAAAATTAGTAATATTTCCCCAAAAGTCGATAATTTACTTCCAGAAAAAGTCGATAATCTACTTTCCGAAAAGTGCAGAAAATCTACTTTTTTCGCGAAGTAGATAACCAACTTTCCCGGAAAGTAGATATTTCCATTTTCTATGATACAAATTTCCTGTTTATGATAATCTACTTCAGAAAATTAGGTAATATTTCCAAAAGTCGATAATTTATTTCAAAAAGTCGATATCTACTTTCCCGAAAAGTAGTCTACTTTGAAAGTAGATAACCAACTTTCCGGAAAGTAGATATTTCCATTTTCTATGATACTGCTTTTCTATGATAATCTACTTCGAAAAATTAGGTAATATTTCCAAAAGTCGATAATTTACTTCCTGAAAACTGAAAAATCTATTTAGTAGATAATCTACTTTTCGGGAAAGTAGATAACCCGAGTAGATATTCCATTTTCTATGATAAAATTTCGTTTTCTATGATAAGTAGATAACCAACTTTCCCGGAAAGTAGATATTTCCCATTTTCTATGATAACTCTGTTTTCAATGATAATCTACTTCTCAAAAATTAGGTATTTCCCAAAAGTCGATAATCTACTTCCTCAAAAACCAATCTCAAAAACTTTCCCGAAAGTAGATAATCTACTTTTCTCTTGAGTAGATAAAACTTTCAATAATAACCAACTTTCCCGGAAAGTAGATATTTCCATTTTCTATGATACATTTCCCGTTTTCTATGATAATCTACTTCGCAAAATTAGGTAATATTTCCCGTCGATAATTTACTTCCCAGAAAGTTGATAATCTACTTTCCAGTAGAAAAATCACTTTTCGGAAAGTAAACAACCAACTTTCCCGGAAAGTAGATATTTCCATTTCTATGATACAAATTTCCTCAATGATAATCTACTTCAAAATTAGGTAATATTTCAAAAGTCGATAATTTACTTCCCAGAAAGTCGACAATCTACTTTCCCGAAAAGTAGAAAATCTACTTTTCGGAAGTAGACAACCAACTTTCCCGAGTAGATATTTCCCATTTTCTATGATACACCGTTTTCAATGATAATCTACTTCAAAATTATGATAATCTACTTTGTAATTAGGTAATATTTCCCCAAAAGTCGTATAATTTACTTCCCATTAAAGTCGATATCTACATTCCTGAAAAGTAGAAAAGTAACTCCATTTTTCGGGAAAAGTAGATTACTTTCAACTTTCCTGGAAAGTAGATATTTCGCATTTCTATGATACAAATTTCCTGTTTTCTATGAGATAATCTACTGCAAAATTAGGTAATATTTCCCAGAGCGGGTCTCTGTTTCCCTAAAGCCTATAATTACTTTCCGGTAGGAAAATATCTTTTGCATAACCCCAACCTTTCCTGAAGTGATGAGCCTACTTTCTTTGCGATGCCCCGCCGCCATAATTTACGCAATGAAAATATTTCAAAAGTCGATAATTTACTTCCCAGAAAAGTCGATAATCTACTTTCCTGAAAAGTAGAAAAATTGCTTCTCCTCAAAATTCAGTTTACAATTATATTACTGGTACAGTTTTCAGTCCACAATTATACAGAAATCATGAGGTGAAAATAATAATCATATGCTTTTTTGTTTATTTCTTTATAATGACACAGAATACTTGAAGTCTGATGCAAAACACAGTGAAGGGAGGTGACAACAGCTCCATAGGCTTGAACCCTAAAACATTACATGAGGTCAAATAAAATATTGGGTGGTCTAATATTCACACATGAAAGCTATTAAGACTGCCTTTTCATGTCTGAAATAAAGTAACATTCACTGGTAATACCTTAAAGTTGAGCCTCACATAAAGCTTCAAAATGATACCTCAGTGTCTACAGTCATAGTACCATACTTCTCTATACTATACCTTGATAACTTGTAACTTTTTAATTTTCATCAAATATGTGGTTGTAAAATATTTAAGCTAAGTGCCAAAATGTGTCCAAGAGGCTTACAATCACATAATGCACCTTAAGTATGGAAAGAGAAGTCATACTGGTACTAAAAGAACTCAGTACTGGAGGAACTGTCATTCAAATGACCTTTAGTTTTCAAAAATAAAATAAAATTAATGATCTGGGAAAAAAATATTAAACAGTTAACTGAAACAGAGTTCAATGCAAGTTTTTTTTCCCTCAAATAAAATGATAAACCCCAAAAACCACAATCTTTCCTATCACTCATTACTAATAGGTCAGATGTTGAATTCATCCAGACACAGCTTCTTGTGAACGTTGTCACCAAACAAGAGTAACTGGAGGCATCCTTCCTCGGGAATATGGACACAAGTGGAGCGTTGTGCAGGAATGAAGCATTCTCATGAAATCTGGTTGTATACATCAACACAACCAAGCATTTGATTCGTGTATGGAAGATTCAAGGAATAGTTGAAGCCTAAAACTATTTTGACAAGTATCCTAAAATGTATATGACTCAATATTATCATGAAATATAACAAAACTTGGAACAAGAACCTTGGCTTAGTTTGTCCACTTCAACAGTTAAAAGTAATTTTACTCATAAATAATAATTAATTTAATAAATGTACATCAAGACCAGTTTAGCTGTCTACAGCACAAGTTTGTTAAGCATGCCATGAATGAATAGCCATGTTATTAACACTTTCAAAAATGTATGTAGTTTTAAACATCTTGGCCTTTACAAGCTGGTTATAAACCTACAGAACATTGTACACTGCTTCATCAACATGGATACTTCCATTTTAGATGGTTTTAGGGTTATTGCTCTTTAAGACAGTGATTAATTATTACTCTCCTTGGGAAAACAAAAGACAGGCACAATTTTACCACTGGACTAAGCTAGGTTCTCTGGGAAATGTGCATACAGCTACAGAAATAGTACCATGAACACTGAGTATTGAAGCTGGGTTATAATTGTTCACATGAAAAGTAAATAACTGTATATAAACTTCTAGAAGGAAAAGCAAAGATGTTCATTAACCTCTCTGTACATAAAATATTTGTCAGGTTTACCATGTATCAAAAGCAGTTGCAGTTTCACTTGTTCACATGCATCCCGTAGGTGAATTAACATATCTATATCTGGACTGACATGGAATGCATATAAACAGACTGTAGTGGACAGAAATATCCTCTCAAGCTTTTTCTAATATCATTAAGTTTCCAATCAGCATTTAAGGAGAAAAAATTTCTGGTGTTTCATTGTCATCAAACAATGTCTTCTGCTGTGGATTCTATACACCACAGAGAAACTCCACTGTCATCAATTGCAGTAACAGCATAGTTAACTAAGTCCGCATATTGAAGATGAAGCATCATCTCCACAAAGCACATATCACTTTTAATAATTTCCCTGTACTGACTGCTGCAGTTTCCTCTCACTATCAAATCAGTTTGTGAACCCTGACTTAAAGGAGGGGCCTTAGGTCACCATGGTTCACAACCATTCCTTGATGGGAAGCTCAGTGTGCAGGAGTCACATCTTGACTGGCCCCTGCTTGTTCAACCTCCTCATCCTCCTATGAAAAACAAAGATTAATATTATTGTTTAATAATATGAATTCAATAAATATAAATTATAGATTAGTTTTATCAACATACATGTTGAAAGATATTATCTTTATTGCATATGTTACATCAGTCTGTGTGGATTCCATTGTGTTGAAGATAAAATGTACTTCCTGTGTTGTAACAAAGACCTGTTCCTTTAAATGGTTTAAATCCCACATCTTGATGTACCATATATACTGTAGTGATTACATGATATTCTTATAATTTTCATTTTGATGAGAATACAGTACCGTACACGAGTTTATTTCTTCTATCTCACTCTGTGTACTGTATATGAACGTTGATGTAGGTGTGCATGTGTATGGCGTGTTTCTACTTTTTGCCTCACCCTTGTTGCTCAATATTTTGTACAACACTTCCCTATTATTCTTGCATCTTTTGAGGGTTCTTTACCATCTGATCCAACCCCACAAGTGTCCCATTCAGAGAGGTATAGCCAACCTACTTAATTTTTCATATTTAGAATAAACTTCAAAACTGGTTACTGTAAATTTGTGGTTAGGACAAAGTAAAGTAGTATAATGAAGTTGCACCCAACAGTACAGTTAATGAAGTGTGTACTTTACCATCTTACAAAATGTTGAACAACGTTGCATTATGGTTCTTCAACTTTGCACTTTCAAATACTGTAAGGAATACAACATATATGCCCCCACATCATTTTTCAGGTCATTTTTTTTAATAATGTTATACCAACCCGGCACTAACTGAACCTAAATAATGTTAATTATGGTGAAACTACATAAAGATGTGTTATAAAAAGGTCCTGGGGGAGGGAGCCATCCACCTGCAGCTCCCAAATACACTCTCGTCTCCCAGTTTTTTCTTATGTATAAAGCATACAAGCCCACTGAAATGACTCCTCTACGAATTCTGTGGTTACCATAACTTCTATATAACACTCCATGGTGTGAAACAGTCATATTAGTGAAGTTGTCAACAGACTTGTGTCAGATTTTCTTGAATTTTGCTTTTTTCTGAATTTTTTTTTATCTGGACTGAGGTCTGTCCCAATTAGTCCGGGATTTCGATTATACTACAATACTATGTGTGTGTGTGTGTGTGTGATTTAATATTTCAAGCGCTGTACTGTATTTTTCTACAGTACCAATAAAATAAAATTTAACATTTAACACTGATTACAAATACAGTATAGCAGTAAATAATACAAGCTACTTACAGAAAACTGAAATGATGCAATAAAAGTGTCATTAAAATCTAAAAAGAACTACAAGTACAGTAAATGCAAGAGCCAGTAGAGTAAACAAAAGTTGTACACTGAACCATAGCAGATTCCCAGTGTTTAAGTTAACTGAAAGTAATAATAGACGAGTTGACGGTTCTGGGTAAACACAAGAAATACACTCTGCCACGTTCGTAGAGTAATACGGTATGTATAATTTGTAAGAAAAGTTCAAAGTCCTACAATGATAGTCGAGATAAGTTTATTTCTCTAGAAACAGGGCCGCCATTTGCTATGACGTCACTAGTTTCAAACTCACAGCTGCAGTTGTACGTAGTAGAAAGGATGGCCTCTTCAGACCCCAAATGCCACGTTCAGGTAAGTTTTAAGGGTGTTCTTCTATGGTCTAAGTCATAGACATTTCTTAAGTGAAGAAATGTGCTGTGAAGAACAGCTTCAAACTTAAGTTGGATGGGTATATGAGCGATAGGGGTTGGGTGTAAATGGGACTGCCAGTGCTCAGTATGGGCCAATAGGCCAGATGCAGTTTCCTCCATTTTTATGCTCTTTTGGACATAAAATAATCCAATGTTCACACCTGCAGCTCAGTTGTCAAGTACTCGTACCTGGTAGACTTTTTTTTTTCAGTGCATTTACAGAGTATATCAGTACTAGATGGAGATACGAGCAAATTGAGAAGTGATGACATTGTCTGGACTTTGTTTCGGTAATGCCTGATACTAGCTAAACACAACAACATCGTGCTGTTATTGTTTTGATGATTTACTAATGAACCACTGGGATATATCATCATTTATATTATTTAATGGGTAAAATTTTAATTTAAGTACCACAAGTACTTTGATGTTTAGATTCGAGATAGGCTATATTGGGTAAATTTTAAGTTTTGGTCATTCCTGTACTCAGACATGCAGACCATGTTTTTTCTGGTGGTTTGCGATGGGTTATGAACGATTTTGACCTTCATTTCTATTGGAAATCATTAGTTTTGAGTTACTTCCCCACATTACCGATGTATGTTAAGCTAACCTTATAACTTATCATACCCTAACCTAACCTTTTGATCTGTATCATACCCTAACCTAACCTAACCTAACCTATGATCTGTATTTTCTTTTGCGATCGAGAAACGTTTCGCGATATAAATCTTGTAGAGATAATGTGTCTTATTGTTTAAAATAATTAATCCCATAGTTAGAAGCTTAAGGTTCCCCAGATGACCCAAACCAAAATAATACCAATATTGTTTGGAATGTTTATACGATGAATTTGTTGTATGGGCAGCTAATATCCATTGAATTAGTTTATGTGATTAGTAATATTTATATATTTAAAATAGTATTACTGTGATGCACAACAAAAGCACAATTAATTATCTAATAATATTTATTTACAGAGCCGATCAGCTGAGAAGGCTGGACAAATACAGCTGGTTGCCTCCCGCGGGGAAGGTCGCCCCAACCAATGACATCACAACCAATCACAGAGTTTTTGCAGTCACATGACGTTTTAGCAACTTTAACCCTTATTTTTGACACTTTTTGGCCCAATTTATTTAAAAATATCATTACCAAGGTAAATTTAAGCGTTTTCTTTACCCATTAACCTGCCATCTTACGAAAAAATTCAGACCGTCAATTCGTCCATTCCAAAAACACATCCCAGGAAATATAAACTATTTCATATACCAAAACGAAAAGGAAGCGTAGTTGCTACTCTAACTTGCAGTGCTATCAGAGAAGAAAAGCGTGCGAAGACAGGCGGAAGGTGTTTGATTTGCAGGCAGGACAGAGAGTTGTTTCAGGAATTCTTTTACGTATTGTTACCTGTGTTGCTGGTGACATTAGTCCTGGGCTGGGGCTCTGAAAGTTAACATTTCAGAAATTATATAATTATTCAATCATTTCTGAAGCCTAAAAACTTTGTCAATCTTAACATTTTTAAATTATTTCATATGGTAATACAGTACATTTACCTGTACAGTACCTTAAACAAAAAAATTTCCTCCATCTAATTTCTGTACAGTATTTAACGAATCTTTATTAAAAATGCTTTTTTTAAAGTACCAGTACTCACAAAATTTATAAATGAGAGTTACCTTGGTAAAAAAAGCATTAGGTAGTATTGCTGTTCACATTATTTCTCCATTACAGTATATTGATATTTAAATAAGAATGCAATATCATAAATTTTATATATAATCCTATTAAAAGTGGCCTAAAGTAACTGGATTTAGTTCCAATATTTTAAGATAATAATTAAATGGTGCAAATACACAACATTAAAGGTAAATTTTACTACATACTGTACATACCTTTTTCTGATGTAATTATTGACTAGATCCTACTTGCTGTTTGCAGTACAAGCAATACAACAGTACAGTAATGAACTGTCTCTTAATTTACAGGTGACTTGGTGGACTATAACAATCATTTTAAGTCCTCAGGTGGAGTAATGGTGGAATAATAGTGCACTGGTAATTCAACAAATGTTGAATAAGGCAACCAGAGAATTAAGCTATATAGAATCTGAATGTTTTTTTTCTGCTGTGCTGGGGACAAGCATAATACCCACCACATGTATAAATTTGCAGTGCCATTATTTATATCACAAAATATTGTAAATCCTTGATATAAGATAATTTGACACGTGATCAATATACAGAAAAGGTACTTTTAAACCCAAACTGTAAAATACAGTGCCTCAGCACTGCAAATTTCAGTGGGTCAACTTGGCAATACAGTACAGGTTGGAACCCGCTAAATCCAATCCAGGACCCGATAGTCCGGCAGCTTCAATAGTTTGGGACGTATATAGTGAATACTTAATCTTATGGGGAAAATTAGGATATGTTCCAAAACTTCAAAAAAGTCAACAGTGTATTTAGCAAATGCTGCAGCTGCTGAGAATGGAGGGGGGCCGGAGTCACTACCAGGAGCAAAGACATTACCGAAAACAAATTCTGGCTTGAATGTCATGTACACTAATACTGACATGTTCCTTGATAAGAAAGAAGCGTTTGAAACACTACTGAAGGTACATCAACCCGACTTAGTAGGAGTTGTAGAACTGTTGTACAAGAACTGGAGAATCGACCCAGAGGAATGTGAGTTCAGTAATGACGGATATGATTTATTTACGAAACTTTCTCAAGAAACTTGCAAGAGGGGTGTGGTTATCTATGCTAGGCAAGACCTTAGAGCCAGTCTGGTGAGGGTACAGGGAGAGGATGTTTTTGAAGAATCCAAGTGGTGTAAAATTAAATTAAAGGGAGGGGACTTACTTATTGTCGGGTGTATCTACAGATCCCCAAACTGTAGCTTACAACACCAAAGGAACTTAAGAGCCTTAATAGACAATGCAGCAATGCTCAACCCTAGCCACCTCCTTATCATGGGGGACTTGAACTTTGGTCACATCGACTGGAGAAGTGAGTTCACACCAAATGACGTCAATAACCCCGCTACTCTTTTTGTAGAAACTCTGAGAGATAATTTTCTTTTCCAACATGTTAAAGACCCGACACATGACAGAGGGGAGCAAACACCCAAGCCAATGGACCTCATAACAAATGAGGAGGTTATGATGGCCAAACTGGAACATCTAGTCCCAGTTGGCACCAGCCACCATGTATTGGTGTCCTTCAGATTTAACTGTTATTTAGTTCATGACAAAACCAGGCCAAAGTGCAAATATTACAAGGGAAATTACGACGGGATGAGGGAAGAGACGAGGGGTATCCATTGGCCTGACTCGCTAAGGTATAGAACACAGACACTACACTGAATATCATAACTAGTAAAGTGAACCATTTGATCCAAAAAATATATACTGTACCCCAAAATCGAACCTAGTGCCTCTAGGAATACAAGGAGACCCCTACACACGAAGCATGTGGCGGTCGACAAAGTTAAGAAGAAAACTCAGAAATTCAAGGCTTGGGTTAGGTCAAACGATGAGCAGGCCAGGAAGATGTATGCAAGAGCCAGAAACCAAGCAAAGGCAGAGTGTAGAAGGGCTGAAAATGAGTTCCAGAGGCTGGTTGCAAGTGAGGTCAAGTCAAACCCAAAGGCGATGCAAAGTCAAAATTAAAAATGTGAGGAGGATTATCCAACCTGAGGCTTGAAGATGGTAGTTACAGAGATTCTGACCAGGACAAAGCTGAGGCAATGAACAATTTCCTTTCCTTGGTGTTCACGAGAGAGGATGCGATTAATCTTCCTGCATTTAAGGACAGACAGTTCAACAGCACTGACCCACATTGTGTTCAGAGAAGAGGTTATAAGAAATAAACTGTCAAAGCTAAAGGTTCATAAGAGTCCTGGCCCTGACATGGTGCATCCCAGAGTGCTAAGAGAGTTGTGCAATGAGCTTGCCGAGCCCCTGAAGTTCTTGTTCTGTAAATGCCTGGATGAACAAAAGGAGACTGTCACTCCATGAATAATTACAGACCGGAGAGCCTGACCAGCATAGCGTGTAACGTACTAGAGAGCATTATAAGAGATGCCATGATGGAACATCTACTACGAAACAACCTTGTAAAGGATTGCCAACACGGTTTTATGCCAGGATGCTCTTGCTTAACACAATTACTCAAGGTACTGGATATTTGGACCCATATTCTGGAACAGGGTGGTAATATCGACAGTATATACCTAGATTTTGCCAAGGATTTCGACAGTGTACCCCATGAAAGGCTGAAAATGAAACTGGATGGGTACGAGATTCGGGGAAATGTCCTATCGTGGATCGGAGACTTTCTTCATGACCGCAAGCGGTGTGTAGTGATAAATGGCATGGAATCATCATGTGTACCTGTCACAAGTGGGGTACCACAGGGCAGTGTATTGGGCTCGCTGTTGTTTGTTTGCTTCATAAATGATATGCCAGAAGCTATACCGGTACACTCCTCTATACAAATGTTTGCGGATGACATGAAGTTATTTCGGGATATTAAGAACCAAGCAGACTGTGAAGAGCTGCAGAAAGATCTCTGTGAGCTTCAAGAATGGTCGAAGGAATGGCTGCTAAGATTCAATGTCACGAAGTGTAAGAGGCTGCACCTGGGACATACCAACGGTAAGGAGGCATATCATATGTCCCAACGGTACGAAATTACTGCATTAATTTAGACCGAATGTGAAAAGGACCTAGGTGTGTATGTTAACAACAAGTTGAAGTTCTCAGGCCATTGCGAGAAGAAGGTGAATCAGGCAACTAAATTATTAGGTCTGATAAGAAGGTCGTTCAGATATCTAGACAGTCCGTCTCCGTCTGAAATGTTGTCACCCTGTCTGGTCCCCGAGATATGCTAAGGACTGTCAGTTGATTGAAAATGTCCAAAGGAGGGCCACCAGACTGGTGCCTGCACTTTGGCACCTCAGTTACCCTGAAAGATTAGAGCACCTGAAATTGCCTCGCTTATACTACAGACGGGTAAGGGGAGACCTAATTGAGGTATATACAGTAGAACGTCGATTTAAAGCGCTTCAATTTAAGATTATTGATTTAAAGCGACACCCACAATTAAGGACAATGTTTTAATTTAAATCGAATCTTTCCTATTTTGTGCAAGTCAATCAGGCCCATCATATTTTAAAATTTGAGCTTAATGTTTCTCTGGGCACGCTACACTGTCCTAAGGGCAAAGCTGTACTGTACATGTACTCAAAATAATGTACTAAATGATTACTAAAAGTTTTGTCTTGTGCAAACTATAGCATGATGATTCAAATTAATCACTATCTTATAAGAATTCCAGCAATGTAAATTATATTCTCCCCGGTCACCTCCCCTTCCTCTCTACATCCCCCATCTTCCCAGCCAGGGTTTGGTGGTTATAAGCTTACTAAAGTTAGCAGAATATAATTTGCATTGCTAGAATTCTTGCAAGACTGCGAATAATTTTAATATAAACGTCATATATTTTGCACAAGAGATAAATTTTTTTAGCCCTTTGTAATAAAATTAATTAGAACATGTCAGTTCAGTGACATTCTATACGAGAAAAATGTAAAGTCACTCTTAAGGACAGACAAATATATAGGCACTAGACCTTGGCATCAGCTGTCAAACATATCACCTCACCCCCCTTCATCTTCCTATCAGCTGATCGCTGGTATACAGACTATTTCACGTCCCTTAATTTAAGATGTGTTAATTTATGAGTGTTTGTTTTAACATAACACATGTACTACAAAAAACAATGTTTTGTTTATTCTCGGAGATGGGCTGATGTGCATCTGGGTAGACTCTGTCTTTTTAGTATTTTGTGTTTCTCTCAAGTACTAAACTAAATTATTCCATTGAAACAACACTTTGATTTAGTGCAAATTCGGTTTAAAGCGACCTCTCTTGGAACATATATCGTGTTATATCGACGATCTACTGTAAACATCTCAAAGGGCACTACTCAGTCGAATGTCCTTACCTGGAGCTGGCAAACACTGACTTAACTTAGCAAAATATAACTTACATTGCTAGAATCCTTGCAAGATAGTGATTAAATTGAGTATAATCATCTTATAGTTTGCACAAGAGATAAATTTTTTAGTCCTTTAGCTTAGTACATTTGAGTATGAAGTGAGTACAGTAATATGTTGCTCAAAATTATGGCTTTTTCACAGGGAAAAGTCTGTATAACTGACCCCAGTGGTCAGGATATTATGGCATAAAGCGAGGGTCCAGTGTACAGTAAACTTGTGCCATAGCACTAACACTATCATAAAGAGGTCCACTAAGCCTGGGCTAGATTTATGCTGATGTAAGTTGTATTGGTACCAGTAATAGTACATTTTATGCATTATTTTGCCTTTTTTTAACCTCGGCTTCGATGGTTCATAATTTTCGCTAATTCGGAACTGGTCTGGTCCCAAGCTTCCCGGATTAGCGAGGTCCAACCTGTACTACTGTATATACATCCCAGAATCCCTGGGTAACAAACTAATACAAACCAGGTATAAAGGAGTACAATTAAATGGATACAGTAATAGATATTATATAAAAAATTTTTTACTATACTGTATCCATATAACTGTTTATCTTATGTACAGTACAGTACAGTGTCAGGATGACAAACATTCTTATGTCATTTAAAACTTTTAAAAAAGTTGAATTTTGAATTATAGTAATATGCTCTTGAAATCTGGAAATAAAATCTCTTTTTTGCTTTAACTTTAAGTATAGTTATTATGAATTTTGATACAATAGAACTTGTTTAAAAACATAATCTGGTTGAATAAAGAGCTTGCAGTTTTATGCATTTTGAAGTTTGGAAGACTGACAATACCAAGGGGAGGCATTCATATATACGTAGTCATATTTCTGCCAGTCTTTGGTAAAAGTAAAAAATCTGAAAAATCTCATCAGGAGTTGCTAGATACTGTATCAGTCAAATCAATGTTTAATGTAAACCAGTGAAATCATTGTTTACATTTCAAGGCTGTGTTGTAATTACTGGAGCTGTACATGGATTCATCCTAAATGGGCTGTAATGACACACACACACATATAAGAGAGAGAATACAGCTACCGAGAAAGTATGTGGGGTCATACCTGAGTTCGTGACAAATTCGCCTCAGAGGAAGCCTTACTGGTTGGTGTTTTACATGGAGAACCTTGCACCTGTCTCAGGTAATCCTTGTCATCAAATATTTTCTTCTCACCTCCTCCAGCTTTATGCTGAACATTATTTAGTGACCCTACTTTACTGGAAGCCTTGTCCTTGAAGTCCAGCTTTTTTTTCTCAATCTGTAACAGTGCAAAGTAGTAGTGTGATAGCAGTTGCAGTGGTGCCAAGCAGACTATGAACCAGTAGGTGGAGGAAAATATACTCATACAGTATACTATGGTTAAATTTTAATTACTTAACTGCTGATGCAAGTGCTTTCCTCAAACTACTATGATAGACGATAAATACCTTGAATCAAGTTGAAAGGAGAAGATTCACTTATGAGACTATTTCTACAGAAGCCTTTTTTTAATGAGCTTCTCCTTTAACTTTGGGGCATGAGAATATTACTGTAATCTAAAAAAAAAATATATAGATATAGCAAAGCTCTAGCTTGTGAAATCTACAAAGATGATGCAGTGTTTGCTGAAAGAGTACACCTCCATTAAGTACAATGCTCTCAAGTCTAATTTACACATGCTTCTCTTTGGTGCTGACATATCAGTTTAATCATGTGACAGATTACCTTTGTACTCTTCTGTGCACTGGAACTTATGCATTTCCCTAGTCACAAATTTCTGCACTGAATTAAGCACAGGTACCATAAATCTGAGTAAAGATGCATTCCCCAAATTACATCATCACCTTCATATAAGTTTTCTAATCTCGAAACAGTAAGTTGTTGACCCACTTCATCAAACTAGCACTGAGACAGTTTAATGGTTTCCTGAAGAGCTAAGAAAAATATTTAAATGTAGTTTTGTGATTGCTCCTAACTGGTAAGAGAGCAGTCAGTAGCTGAGGGTTGTGGTGTGAAAAAAAGATAGTTTTGCATTGAATTTTGAAAAAAATTCTAGTGATCATGTGTTGATTAAATATTCTACAAAAGCTACAATATAATAATTAATGAAGGTGGATTTGTAAACATCTTATTCATTTATACAAATATACTGTCATTGGCTTTAACACATTTTCATTAAACTCAAAACCTATAGCCAAGTGAGGTTTGAAGGACTATACACTCCAAGGAAACACTTGACATACATGGATATACTGTGTTAGGTTGTTCCCATGTTACAATTAGTAACTGGACTGCACGAGTTTTTCAGTATATAAGTGAAGTACAGGTACATGAAGTACCCAGACCATGTGTAAGTCGTGGAGAGTGAGTAGGAGACAGCCATTCAAACATTTAATGACTACTTTACTCTTTACCCCAAACCATCCTGATAAAATCATGGCTGTGGGGCCAGTAAAATCAAAGCTAGATATGAATTATCACACTTAATATAAGGTATTTATCCCTTTATCAATCTTCCTCATCAGGTTAACACATAATTACTATTTAAAGAACATGAAAAATGTAAAGATATTCTTAAATCTTTATGCAAAAACAGTGACCTTCAAGTAAATAAAAGTATAGTAATTATGGATGAAGTTGTGATGATGTATTCCTTATCAATCACATTTAACGTAAAAGGTAGCCAATAATTGGTTTTAAATAGCATTATACTGAGAATCCCAGATACTGTACTTGTGGATCAGGAGTGAGGCCAAGGGCACAGGTCAGTCAGTCAGGAATGGCAACTAGATTGCATTTTATCTACATACAGTATACACTGTAATGGTTTATGCCTCCTGTAATATTTATTACACAATTTCTGCAAGGCAGAACAATTCCCTCAAATCAGAAAGAACCTGGCAGTGTAGTAGTGCATAAAATGACTTCTTATGCATAACAATTAGGAAACAAAATATATTTCCTTTCCATTTTAACCTTGCAATTATGAGATGGTATATCAAGCTCTTGTTAAATCATGGTAGCTGTAATGTGTCCCAATGGCGGCAATGAAACTGCTAATGGCTATATTCATGGACCATAAATTCATTGAGGGAGGGGGGGGCCAAGTTGCATTTTGAGATTGTAAAATATGTAATATTTGGGTCACTATCTACAGAGAAGTCAATACACGAAACACTGACACCACCCTCCAGCTATGCAGAGTGATAGTGTACATCCTTTATGAGTTGTGCGAGAGTATGGATGAACACAAGTTACTGAAGGACAGGAAATCAACTCATGCCAGTCCGAAATTCATAAGGAATGAATGATAACCTGCATGGTTTGTAAAGTGACACTCATGGTCGTCATGATAAAACTGGGTTTTATTAAACCAATGTTTCATGTAGGAATTTTGGGGCTTCTTGGTCAAGAATGCATGCAAAAACTATTATACAAGAAAAGGTGAAGGTTTGCAACAAACTTCAATTAATTCATTAAAAAAAATCCATAGGCCTAATTGTCCATTAAGGTTAGCATGGATACAGCACATACTACTGTATAGTAAATCTTTGGTCACACAGGGAGGCAGTGTGCTCAGCACTGCACTCAACTACCATCAATTCCCCAACTGAAGAGTCAAGAACCCATACCTAATTACAGCTGGGTAGACCGGGAATACCCAGAGATCAAACCAATGAGCCCTAAGACAGGAGGGAACTACTGTGTCCACTCAACTATGCACCCCATGCTTGTCATAATGAGGCGTAAATCATTAAATTACTGCCCGCCAGGCAAGATAAATATGTCAATATTTTTCATTAGCAACAGCAGCAGCAGCAACGATGTTGAAGGCATTATCATAAGAGTTGTATGAGGGTGGCATATGAGGTATTTGTGTAAAATAATAATCACCATGTAAAACTTCTTTGTGAAGACGTGCTTTTACTGAGGAAGAACACATAGGGATAATATTCTGATGTGCTCAATTTGTAAATCATGGAAAGATATTTGATAAATAGTTAAACATTTATATGAGAAACATGATACCTAATGGTTGGCAGTGTTAAGTGAGGTCAATTATAAATTATGCAGTGTATACAGTAAATGTCTTCAATCAGTCTTGATAATTACACTGGATATCTTACTCGGATTACAATTAGACCATGTACCAAAAAGTAACAAGCAACCCAAGTTCATTTTGCTTCACAAATTTGTTAACATCTTAAAGATATCATATTGGAGGAAGGATATTATGACAGCACATGATTCAGAATCTCTCCACAAAGGATGATCATCTCTCGGTACAGAATAAGCGCTGAGTTTGGTGTGATGGATTGCCGCTCTTCAGGCTCCTCAAATAAAAAAAAAAGAAAGAAATACAACTTGTGTGTGACTACTGTGAAGTAGAAAAATATTTTACTTGCCCTCTTCCTGAAAACAGGACAAGCAGTGTCTCAGTTCCTTTAAGTCATGTGAATCTTTGTTACATGCAGCCCTTCCATGCATCCAGTCTTACCTCTGTAACTGATGAGAAGCATTTGTCTCTTACACTCATATGCAAACCCTTTGTATAAACAGGTATACCAATAATTTCCTTTCAATCAAAATTCCTAACAGTTAAAGCAGTGCAGATGACAGCACAACTCTGACATCAGTCAGTGACTTACTTTTCCTTCTGACTTTGCACTCTTCTTCTGTTACCACGGCAAGAGGTTGGCAGAAGAAAAAATGTATGATGCATTATACAGTACAAGAAAACATAACAAGAGCAAAATTGGATTTACAAATACAGTACTTGTATTCAAAGCACACATGCAAAGTAGATTTTTTTTAATGAATAAATAGTACAGTATGGATGTATGTAGGCAATATGTATGTATGCATAAAATACAGGGTTGTTGAAAATTGGCACCATTTTGCCCCAGTAACATCAAACACTTGCCTTCATAAGTAAATATACTGTATCCTTAAAACTTTATTTTGCCAAGGCTTTCGACAGTGTACCCCATAAAAGGCTGAGAATTAAACTGGAAGGGTACGGGATTCGGGGAAGTGTCCGAGCATGGATTGGAGATTTTCTGCATGACCGCCAACTGTGTGTGGTGATAAATGGTACAAAATCGTCATGTGTACCATTGACAAGCGAGGTACCACAGGGCAATGTATTGGGCCTGTTGTTGTTTGTTTGCTTCATAAGTGATATGCCAGAAGCTATACACTCCTCTGTACAAATCTTTGTGGACGATGTCAAGTTATTTAAGGAAATAAAGAACCAAACAGACTGTGAAGAGCTACAGAAAGGTCTCTACGAGCTTCAAGAATGGTCAAAGAAATGGCTGCTAAGATTCAATGTCACGAAGTGCAAAAGGATGCACCTGGGTCACACCAACAGTAAGGAGGCGTCTCATATGTCCCAACAGAATGAAGAAACTGCATTAATTGAGACTGAATATGTAAAGGACCTAGGTGTGTATGTTGACAATGAATTAAGTTCTCGAGCCATTGTGAGAGGAAGGTGAATCAGGCAATGAAACTAGTAGGTCTTATAAGAAGGTCGTTTAGTTATCTGTATGGTCCAAGACTCATAATGATCTTCAAGAGTGAGGTGCTTCCCCATCTGGAGTACTGTCAGTAGGCATCAAGTCCTCTGGCTGTGATGAATGTACTTGGGGAGTTAAATCAGTTTTATTTCCCATAATTATAATTGTATCACTTAATATGTACACTCGGTAAAAAAACTACCGTACAGGTGGGGTCCGATGATTTCCCAACTGAACATTGCCGTGGTCTTGCAAGGGTAGGTACAGTAGGTCTGAATGTGAGACATTTTGTACTTAATTTGGTAGGCCGAAATTAGCTATTTCATTGACAATATTAAATTACTTTGTTACAATATGACTGGAGAATGTCAGTATAACTAGATAAGTTAAACTATAGGTTATATTAATGTTCCACACACCGTGGACTACAGTAACCATGGAAGTGGATGAGTTGCCATATAGGAATGCATCATATGTTTGGCAGAATTAGTGGATATAGTAAAGGTATAAGATTATTTTGTAACTGAATTTCGAATCTGTATTTGTAGTGCTGCTACTTCACTTTGGGCTAATGCCACATTATGTCATTCTTTATTTGTATTAGAAAATATACCATGCTGCTCCAAAATACATGAATACCTCCACAGTTTCGCATGCCGTCATAATGGAACCCGGCCCAACAACGTTTTACCATACGGTCGATAATTCCGGAAAGTCTAGTACTGGGTTTCGTTTCAGAGTGCCGATCACTTGTTTTGAGCACTTGCTGCTGAACCCATGCACGCGCAGGGCTGCCAATGCAAGGAATGCCTCAGGGGCCTTTTTGAAACACTTCGTTTGTAGTGTCAGTTTGTTTTGCGCAGAAATTGTAACGGTAGTTTTTTTACAGAGTGGACCTATTGCTAGGGCAGCAATGACTGATTTTAACTTTGTATGTGTCACACGATTAATAAACTCTCCCGCTTTTTACATATACTGTACATTGATAACCATTAAATATATATCTTTATTAATATTTGAATAGATTTGGTACCCATGATGAGTGGTTGGTGAGAGCTATGCAAATAATTTCTCTCCACTAACACTATGAGGTTTGATCCTCCAGATCAGGCCTACCAAAATATTTGTGCTAAAAAAGCATGTCAAGTTAATATCATAAATGCACAAGTAGTTCACTTTGCGGTCTAACAGCTGTTTCAACACATCTTGTTTAAATGCGAGTATCCTTGACAGATTAAGAGACTCAGAGTTTCCATTCCTAAGTGGCAAAATAGGCCTTTTGTTCATAATCCCTGTACTTGATGCTGTCGTGGGCTTTCAGTAATAAGAAGCAGCTCCTTGGTGGGCTACACCGAGAGGAACGTTTCTTTCAACAAAGGTACACACGAATCAAATATCACGCTGGTTGTATGTATGAATATAAATAAATAAATACATAGTGAATATATATAAAGTCAAACTGGTAAAAAAAAAGGCAGTTTCATCAGTGCTAGTATATACATGCATTACCCTGGTGCAGTTCATTAACAACTCTGGATATTCAGAACAACGTTGGGCACTGTTTAACATTAATACCCAGCTGAATATTTCCTTAGTAGTTGACTACATAAAATATAGAACACCTGAGCTGCATGAAATATTAATTAAGACTGAATTTGTACATTAGTTACACAAAAAATAAACAAGAGGTACATCTGTAGGATAGTTAAGTTAGGTTTAGACTAAGTCTGTCAGGTATTAAACACTTCTACAGTATACTAATACTTAGAGGTCATGCTACTTGTGGCATCAGTTCATTAACATAACTTTTTAGACAAAGCTAAAATTACTTATTTAAAAAATGAGGACCTTACTAATAATCACTGTCATGCTGTCACTGAAGAATATGTCCTGTCTTAATAATGAAAGTACCTTTTAGACAAATGTCATTTATAGTAGATCAACAAAATTGAAATTTTTCACACAAGAAACTTGAATTTTATTATGATATATACCATTACTCATCATACCATTTCATCTCTGATTATTTTTTAGTTTCCATTACATCAGTAAACTAAGACAAAATAGGAGTGGATAAAACACTATGTGGATTCTGTAATTTTAAAGCTTTTTATACGGAGTATTCCTCTTATACCAGGAGTATAGTCAGAACAGTTCATCATTGCCTTGAGAATTGCACTTATCCATATGATCAACATCTCAAGTGTAGGTTATTTAACTTATCTGCAAAACCACTAATGAAACTTTTGATAGATTAACAAAAATATTAAATCTACATGATACCTGTACCTAACTAACACTTACTGAACTAGTTATCTAAGCATTTATATCCTGTTTATGCAGCAAAAGAAAGAAGCAAATAAAAAGAGAAAAAGAACTCCACCTGTGGGAACTGGATACGCCTGTAACTGATAATATTACTGTAATAATAAAAATGGGGGAGGGAATAACCCAAGGCCTGTTTAGTGCTAAATGTCAACAGTGACTTGGTCATTTATTTGTTACAACCAACATTATCCAAACTTTACAAAAGAATCTGTCACACAAAACTGAAGTGAATATGAAGGCACCATACAACTAACATTCAATATTTGACTGACACCACCACATCGTAGAACAACTGCATATTTAAAGGTGTCAAAATATTAAAAAATTATAACTAAAACATCATTATATCACCCACATCTAACTTTCAAATCCAGTAAATTACCATTTTTACTGGAGTAACTGGTGGCCAGTACTTTTGCACCAAGATTTAGCACACTTACAAGAACACAGGCACCTAGAAAGTGAGCTTATGAATATACCACCATGCAAAATTAAAATTTATTATCACTATACAATATATATATATATATATATATATATATATATATATATATATATATATATATATATATATATATATATATATATATATATATATATATATATATATATATATATATATATATATATATATATATATATATATATATATATATATATATATATATATATATATATATATATATATATATATATATATATATATATATATATATACAGTATATATTATATATATAATTACATTTGCCTACTTTCAATACTGTCTTTATGGAAGAAATTCTATCAAAAACCAATGTGATATGAAGGTTGTGACCTAAAGCCTGTAAATTTTCTTACCTGGATATCCCCACCTCCAGGCTTGTGTTTAAGGTTATCCCTGGAGCCAACCTTCGATTGAGCTTTGATCGCAATTTTCTGGCTTTCAATTTTCTTGTCTCCACCGCCTGGTTTGTGATCCTTGTTGTCCAAGGAGCCAATCTTGCTGGAAACATTCCACTTCAATTTTTGGGACTCAATCTGTTGGTGGGAGAGGAAGTATTTGTTTATGCAATGTAATATTCTCAATGGAAGAAGCTACTTATTATGTTATTTTTAACTGTGTTACCTTAAAAAAAAATTAATGATGCAAATTTTTATGCAGATTTTTTTTAGCAAAATGTATTTCTAGATGACTGATGAATCATGCCTAGTAAGTCATAGAAAATAAAAGTCCAATAAGCAAAAGAGTTAGACTGGAAAACAGAGGTGATCAATACAACAGCAGAGGACACAACAATCTGGTGGAGAGTTGGTGATCAAGCTAAGAGCAACTGACAAAGTACTTCGCTTCCTCTAGGTCATTCAGGAGTTTAGAAATTCACATCTAAGCTTTCTTAAAACACTCTTGACATTCAGTAAAAACAAGAATCTGCTCGTTGCCAATGATCCCTGTGAAAAACAACACAAGCTGTAGTGGGAGATTTGCATGTGTGACGATAAGGGAATACAAGCCATCAACATTATACTAGAAGAATACTGACACAAAAACATCATACACCATGATGTGGGGGGTACATGGTTCACTGTTAATGTAGCCTCGATAGTAGCCTGAGGCATCACGAGTTACTCATAACTTCCATTTACTACAAAATTACCTAAAAAGCAAATATATCTGCTTCAGATTAAGTGAATTTCCATCTGTTTCTTATTGCATCAGACAAAGGCATTACCATCATTCAATGGGAAACAAGGTCCACTTCCTTTCCATCAGGTAGCACCTCTTAAAGGATGCAATGCAATAACAGATTTGCTCTTTAAAAAATTCTCTATAATCATTACTGTACTGTATACATTTTATGGTTAAATCTATCATATGTACTCATAAACACCTGTACATATGTGCACCACATGCATTAGGTTCTACTTCAACTCTTGCCATGTAAGAACTCTCAAGGCTTTTATCCACTATTAACAAAAAAATATTTCTCTTCCTACCTTCTCCGGCTAAGATGAAAGAAAATGTTCTGTGTTAGAGACCTTAAAGGGAACTGAAAAGTGTTGCAGTTTATAGAGCCGGGACAAATGTGGTTATCATCTAATTAAGATTAAATACTGTATACTTAAATACCAAGATTCTTCTTTGTCCACTTTTCATTACTAGATACATAGTATACTGTACACAGTATTTACATTTCCAGCACTACATCCTGCATTGATATCACTAAGTAAATGGTACTTCTAATTCAGTAACTGCATATAACTAACAAAAAGAAGAAAGTGGATGATTATCTCAGGTAATGGTTGAGAGTGCTCTCCTGGCTCCATATTGGTCAAACTTTCCACACTTATATCTAATTTAAAAAATTATGACCAGAGGAAAGAATACCATTAGTTATTGGATTATTTTTGGTACTGTACTGTATATTCACCCAAGAATCATAAATAAAAATACAACTGTATTGTACTTGTACTGGTACATATTTACAAATCAACAATCAGAATTAACCAAGTAAACATGAAAGTTGGTACAGTATTTCTCTACTGAATAAACATTTTATATATGTACAAGTCTTACCAACTCTCCCATTTTCATGAACAAAGTGTAAACATTTTTGTTCATAAAAATATCTATGGCAGTACAGTATACTGTATGAAACAACAGTCATGTAAATATACCTGTACAGTACAGTACAGGTACTATTTCCTACCCATACCTGGTAAACTAAAACTAAAGGCTGTGTAGGTTATATGAGAAAACTACAACAAAATGATGGGACATTTTCAAATACTGTATATAAAAAACTGTAGTACTGAAGAACTAAAAATCAACTCTGTACCCGAACAGCATTTTTTAACCATTGTACAGGAAGGATATGGCATCTACACATGATTGTAAGCCTAGCTATAATCACACAGTCATACTATTAATCAGGGCATTTTTGTACATTAAGTATATTTGCCACACTCAAGTTTGTTAAAAAATGGGGTCATTATCATACCTGCCTGCCGATGTAAAACTTAGCAAAAGTCAAAGAAATTATGAAAATTTTAAAGAAAATCACATTTTCCATAACTATCATCAGCTCTTCTCAACTGACTTCATCAATCTTAACCAAACCATCAAAATGTACAGTACCCTGTACTGTACTCTAAAACTATCTGCCTGACATACCTGTACCACATTTATGAGTTCTGTACACCTATTCACCACAATTAACACTACTTCCTTAACCTTTTTCATCATTATCACGGCTAAAACAACCTTCCCAAACTACTGCTGTTAATTTGCCTTGCGTGAGAAAAATTATTATTTGTAACTAGCAGCAATACCTTTTCTTAACTAAAATATTCTACCTTTTATACTACAGCACCATCAGCCCTTTCAACTATAACTATCTATTTTAACTACCACCAGCCAGCACTTCATACCAACTACAATTGAGGCATTCTGTGAAACAATGACGAGCCTGCCATGGGTTGAAAAACTCGTTTTCTATGTCCCCAGATAGCTCTGTTCCTCCTCTACACAACTACACTGACATCATATGGCAGGCTCGTCAGTATCGCTCTGTAAATATGCCTTGAATGCAAGGGTTTGGATGCCATGTGTTGTGGGAGGGGGAGAAGTGGTCATACTGCTCCGGGAAGACATGATGAGGATGCCACTGACACCAGCCATTGAGCGTCAGCTTAGCCACGCCAGCCAATGAGCGTTGTTTACACCCCCTCAGTCTTGTGATTCATGCAGATGGAAGAACATTATTCACGATTGCAGTGACTTATTATATATTTTCAATGTGTTACTGTCATCAAAATGAGCAGCAGTGAGGGTTTTGCCTGTAGTGTATGCAACTACAGTAAAGCTAAGTGATGAAGAGCTGAAGGATCTCAAAGACCTAATTGTCTATGTGCCGCCACCACACCACAAGCAGTTCCTGGAAAACGTTAATAGCCCAACAAAGCACTAGTCCTGCAGAAGTCGCTGAGGAGGAAGATCCCGATGACAATTTGCTGGAGTACTAGAGCCAGCACCTCCTACCACCCCCCATCGTCACGCAAGCAGACAAAAGGCACCAGTCAATGTAAGTGCCCATTACCGTTTGCAGTAATACTTCCATAATAATAAGGAGACAAGAAGTACTACCTTAAGTATAAGTACAATATTTCTTATTCTTTCACTCTTTTAGTGACCACTTACACATTTTTGTTGATTATGGATGTATTCTGTGATAAAAATTATTTTATTAATATGATCCCATTCATTAAAACAGGATAAAAATTCGTGATAGTACAAGGTATAGTGGGTTACACTTATTTGCATTCTTTATTATTTTTATATTTATAGACACCACATACTTTAAACACCAGTACCAATGTATTCTTTATAAAAATATATTTAAAATGAGCCCTCGAACATCTTCATAGGTTAATATTTGTTAAAGTTATGGCTATTTACAGTAAAAAAAACTTGAATCGCCATTATCTCAAAATTTTATTTTGGCGGGCTCGTCATTATCGCACGGAACGCCTCAATTATCAACACAATCTACTTTCACTCTTACATCCTTCCTGACTACAGTATTGTACTACCATCTGCCTTAACTACCAATTTCTCAATATCTGCCATAATCATCCCATATGTATAAAATTAAGAAACTGGCAGTTGTAAAATGACTGTGGGTATAAAAACAGTTACAAAAATAAAGTTACGTAAAATAAGTTCCATTAGGAAAAGAAAGATAGAGGTGGAAACTACAGTAATGTATAGTTTAATTTTGATATACAGTGCTGTACATACACTATATACTCTATGTACAGTTTATAAAACACCCTAGGTTAGATTACCGGTATGAGTGTCAACTGAGCCATGCTTATCCGGTACTTTAGATAAGAGTTAGAGAGAGCAGAACAGATCAAAGTCTAAACCAGACCCTGATCACATCCAGAGCTGGAGAACAGCTCAAGATACTAGGGTAATATCTACAGTAAGAGTGAACACTTTTAAGAAATAAATTAAGAGAGTGAGAGTTGGTGAGTTTAGAAAGAAGTCTTTTTTTTTAAGTTAGAGAAACAGCTTCGAAATTATTAAGGAAAGACCAATATTATCAGGATTACAAAGAAGAGAGTACTACTGTAACCCATTTCTATAAGCCACCAGAGAAACCAACACAATAAATATAAGCCAATTCAGTACTAAATATGGTACAGTATGTGAAATGCATGCAGTGGAGGATGTGTTAGTTATTGAGAAACAGCACCACTGGTTTCACAACCAGTGGTGCTGTTTCTGCGAGGACTGGCCAACACACATACAATACTGTAGCTTTAATTTCGTTGTGACACACCAAAAGTAAGTCTACTGTTTGTACAGTTGCCAGCAAAAGTTCTCCAACAGCCTTGTGTGGCAAGTTTTGGGAGGACTTTTGCCGGCAACTGTACATATATTCTGTACATTTGGGGATCTTTTATTTTCACTGAATTTTATTTTTTATATGGTTTTATCTGAAGAAGAAATGTTAGACATCCTTACTAACCTTGTACAGTAACTGTATAAGGTCAATGTACCGAAACACAAGAGCAACAAAACATACTGTAGTAGTACAAACGTTATCTATTTCCCTTAATGAACGTATATTAAAAACAGTGGTGCTATTACCTTTTGATGTCTTTGAGAAAAACGTGAAACACCAGCTCAGGGTGATCTGTTGTTGTACATGTGCACCACACGGGTCATGGTTAAATGTCCGTGTAAACAAACAAGCGACGGACAGACGGCCCACACCTTGCCATCTGCTGACCCCGCGGCCAATATGTTATGTGGGTGGTTTAAGCGGTTTTCGCCTTGTTTTCCCGTCTTCCTTATATAGTCTTTGATAGTAACTCGAACCAGATCACGTACAGGTATAGTATTTGGTTTAAAAAATAATAATTACGGCTCAGAGGGCGCTTTCGGGATAATAATAAGTAATAGCCGTGTGTTTCAGTGTTATTAAAAATTTGAACTGTGTTCCAAATATTTGAGAATGTCGATCGCACACACCTGGGTAAAAACCATCTACCATTAGGTCACTTCTCTAAAATTTGCTTTTGTCTAGGTTAAAGTTAGGTTAGGTTAGGTTAAGGTTACATTAAGGTTAGGTTAAGTTAAGGTTACATTAAGGTTAGGTTAGGTTAGGTCAGTTCTCTAAAATATGGTTTGTATAGGCTAAGGTTAGTTTGGGTAGGTTTCGCTGAACGAAAACAATGATTTTAAGTTATTAGTTATTTTCATTCATCAGCAGACACTGTTGCTGTTCCCTCTTCCCACTTTCGTCATCACTTCCCTTTTTTATGCAATCTTTAATCTAATAACTCACTTTTGTTTGAGGTTAAAATTTCTCAAATTAAACCCGGCATTTTTGAATTACCAAATGCTCTGGGAGGAGAGGGTGCCATAATGTGATGTATAAAGTAACTACAGTCTATTGTAATATTTCTTATTCGTTCGTTTCTCTAAGTTTCAGCTTACTAGCCCGGTCGGCACTCAACCATAATTGATGAATGTGTTATACGATATGATACTATGAACTATATGATGGATTTCGTGTTCCAGCAATGTTGTTAAGTCTTTAGCTAGTTGTTCAATAAACGGTAACATTTATCTAGCTTTACTAAACAAATAATCAAAAGATAACGAGAAATATTTCTAACTTAACATAGTATTGACGAATTAAGTTATACATTTAATTTACAAAATACTGTACTGGTGTTTAAAATAGTCGCAATACCACTCACTCCTCGTTTTAATTATTATTCCCACTAGCGTTGCGTAATAGTGTGACGTAATAAACTAGGTGTTCAATGGATCTAAAGCGGATTTAAATTGTCTGCAGCCCTGCTTCCAGATTATCTGAGGGTTTGTAAGATGATGTTTCTCGATTAGTGACTGAAGATTATTGCAGCCTACACCAATTAAACACTGGTGATTCTACGGCCGGCCACTACGAAAGCGCAAGTTACTTTACTACCATCAAACTTTTATTTACCGTGGTCAGGTTAATCAATTATCCACTGTATCAAGGTAGATGCATTGTATCAGCACCGTACCACATCGTGTCCACTGCATCAAGTCACCAGTTTAGTTTAGTTCCATGCAAGAACTGTCTTGGTGAGTTTATAGTAGTTGTGAGCATTACTGAGTCACTATGACAAAGTCTAATTATATATGAGGTCCGTTTACCTTTGCTGGTTACTTTAGTGGCTTACAGAGACTTTACCCCCTGCAGGAGAAAAAGAACCACACAGAAGGATGACCCACCTTCTTGTCACCTCCGCCGGGAGTGTAAGTAATGTTCTTGGCAGCGATCTTGCTGGAAGCCTTGGAGAAGTCTAGCTTCTTGCTCTCAATCTTGATCTTGCCACCCCCGGGCTTGTAGGTGGCGTTGTCCATGCTGCCGATCTTCGACTTGACCGCCTTCAGGTTGGGTGATGCAGTCTTACCCACCTCTACCTTGTTCATAGGCACTGTTGACCCAAATATCATTAACTGGTATATTCACATGTAATTATTATTTTTTGCTTGACAGTATAATTTACAAGGAGAGAGAGAGAGAGAGAGAGAGAGAGGGAGAATTTTGATCCTAATTAGAATATAAATTTTCTTGCTGAGGAAATCTGAGGTGTGTGTATATAGTGTGTGATGGTAGAGAATGTAGGACAATAAATGTGTGGTAGGTAAGGTGTGCCAGGAGTAAGGGTGCAGTGTCGAGCGTAGGCGTCGACTTACACTTGCGCTCGGCGGAGGCAGCTGACTGTGTGGAGCGTTGTTTCATGGGGGACGGGTCGGAGGAGCGGGGCATCCTCTTCCTGGGTGAGCCGCGGGAGCCCTTAGAGGGTGACCTGCTCTGACCATTTTCCTGTCGGTAAAAATAGAAATGTTAGGCTGACAACGTGGACTTATTTATACATCACCTGTAGATGGATTTAAGTGACTGACGCCACCCAGGCAACACAAGTTGATTGGTGACCTCAAACACAAACAAGTGATCGACCACCCGCACACCCCACACACACACTCTCTCTAGGCAGGAGCACCAATATTCCCTCCCTCAACCATAACAATACCTCCATCACAGTCGGGGATGCATATCAAAACAAACATCCATACAAGCCTTTTTTGTTTACATTTTAACGAAAAGACAAATTTCAGAGCATGAGATAGTTTTTTTCTCCAAACCCCCAGAATTAAAAACTAGATATAATTATGTTTCAGGTTCATGTTAAAATATAAAGTTAAAATGTTTATCTCTTAACCCTGTGTGCAAGCTGTGGCCGAGTAGTCAGATATCTCGAATTGGGTTTTAACGTCCCAGGATGGAGCCTTAGGACGCGGAGGTCTGTCTTCAAGGGCTTTACAAACCATCGACAAGCCTCCAGTATAGACCCAGGAACGAATGGATTGACTCGACCATCAAATAAGCAACAGGTACTGAGATGTATTAAGGTAACATTATGGTCATCGTATTCAAAGGGTTTCAGACATGGTACTCAGGGATTAAGTCAGTGTACCCAGGAAGGTTGAGATAGTTTCACCAAGGGATTATTTCACTGTACAGGGGGATCGGCCTCGCACTGAAGGGGGTTAAAGGTGAAGGCAGCAGCTACACGATGGCACTACATGTAGGGAGACGGAGCGCTTATCAGTTACCATGGCAATACAGCTTCCCGTGGTGACGCCTGCTGGAACCACGTGATCTATAGAAACGTACGTGTGTGTGTGTGGGGGGGATAATTGATTCCCTCTTCTAATAAAAAAAAAACAAGAACCTAACAGCTATCACCAAGACGCAGCGAGTGTTTTACGTGAGGTTCAGTGTAGTGTTTTTCGTGTCGCCACTCAGTCCTGACCTCAATACATTGCTTCTCGTCCACTGTCCTGCCACGTTTAATATTCATCATTTCTTTATCTGACTGATGATTAAAACTGTATCATACGAATGTCTTCTCCAAACTTGGGGATGAATGAAAAAAAAAAAGAGGTCAAAATGTGTAATTTATAAATCCCAAAATGATGTTAGTGCTGACTGATGCTTCTCGCTGTGACAAGTCCTGACGTCATGGTGTAAAATATAGAAAACAAGTGACGATCGAATACCCAAGATAATGATGGCAGTCAGGTGTTGTATAAGACGTTCCTGGTGCTAGAATTATATATAAAAATACTAAATGGTCATATCAGTGGTGTGTGTGGGGGGGCACCATTCACGATTCGAGGGGGGTTGGGGGTAATTTTAGTTGATGGTTGATATTGTGTTATACCAAAGCCATCCATTCACCTGCACTACTCATCCACCACGCCTCACCATTCACTCATCCATTCACCACGTGTCACCTCACCACTCACCCACACGAGGCGGCAGACGCAGCACACACCCACACGTGTCCTGACTCACACTTCATCAATAATTAAACAACTTCCCTCTGAAAATGTCAATACTAAATAAAAGCTTTCGACACACACACACACACACACACACACACACACACACACACACACACACACACACACACACACACACACACACACGGCGCCTCCCCCCCTCGGTGAAAACTTCTGGAACAGGATTCAAACAAGCAAAGAATGGAGACCCAAGGAAGATGAAAGAATGCCCAAAGCTGTTTCATTCTTAAGTTAGCCCAAGTACCTAACCTAACCCAACTCTAACCTAATCTAACCCTCTCCTAACCTAACCCTATCCTAACTTAATCCAACCCTAAGCAATGGACCAACATCTAAGGTCAATGTGTCTAATTAACCACTTGTATATTCAACAACACTTACTTAACCCTTCATGTGGACGATAGAATGAACGTGTGTGTGTGAGAGTGTGTGTGTGTATGTGTGTGTGTGACGTCAGGCCCGGAGGTGGTGACTCAGCCGTGTGTATGAGTCAGCTGCCGTCAAACAGTCTTCTTCCTCCCCACCCCCACTGCTGTATTTATGAGACTACCAGCCGCTCCCCTACCACTATTACTACTACCACTATTACTACTACCACTACTCACACCCTCCAACTTTTACTGTACCACCAGCCTCACCCTCTACCACCAACCACACCCTGTACCACCAACCACGCCCCTTCTAAACCACCCAAACAAACTACGTGCACACAAACACTCATGTCCTTATTGCCACTATTAATTTAACCGATTAGAAACACTTTATTGTACCACAGTGATAATAATTTGACCCACTGTATTGTCTTATGTATACCCGTTGTTGTTGTTGTTGTTGTTACATAAAATACACCAGGACATCACCTGTAATTAACCATATTCACTCCACTGTGTTATTGCCACTGCAGGTACAGGTGAGAGTGGCAGAAAAGGGTGTGGTAAGTGACTCAACACCTCCACACCCTATCAACAACATCTGCTACCACACTCTGACCATCTCCCTCACCACCACCCAACCACCAGGGCCCAGATTCTCAAAGGTTCATATACGCTAAGCTCCCCCCCCCCCACCTCCTATGAGATAACGTCAACATTGTAGTGATGTTCTATAGTAATTATGTAGTTTCTTGTATCTCCATTACAGGGGAAGTGAGACGTAAGAATCTACGAGAGTCTGGTCCCAGTTAGCGCGGTGTTGACAGTGGCTGGTGTGAGGGCGTGGCAGTACAGGAGCTTGCGACACATGACAGGTTAGCAGCTAGTGGTGGCAAGTACACTGTGGGTAGCCTGTAATACTACCTACAGTGTGTTGTCTCATATTAGCTGGTTAAGACATAGGTATTGTTGTTTTAGATCTGCTGAGGATGGTCAACAAAGCGTTTCTCTTGGATCAGCTGATAAAAGTCAATGCAACTCGACACATACACACCAAAACAAACAAAATCTAATCTACTGCATTAGTATCTTTGAGTTTTGTAGAAAATTAGATTGAGTTAGTTGCACGCGGAGACATCTGCATTACGCGATACCTGTGATTTCGAAACACCTGAGGGAGGCACAGCTGGGGGCGTTACCCGTTTACTGTGCCTCTCGTTAACCTGTAAGTTCCTCTCGACCTTGAGGACACTGGAGGAGGAAGAGACGGCCATGTTTGACACCTCCACCTACAAAGATGATGAGAGCCAGTCAGAAGGAGGGAGGGAGTGAATTAATGTGAAAGTGAGCGAGTGAATTAGTAAATCAGTGAGAGTTAGTGAATTAGTGTGAATGAGTTAATGTAAGAGTGGGTGAGTTAGTGTGTGTGAGAGAGAGAGAGAGAGAGAGAGAGAGAGAGAGAGAGAGAGAGAGACCAGCAACCCAGTGTAACCAACTCCCCTCAAAAAAATCAATAGAACAGAGGAAAATGGTGATAAATGAAGAGAAAAATAAACAATAACGAAGAAAATAGATAACAAGGGGGGGGTCAAAGGGACAATGGGAGGGGAAGAGATAAAGAGATAAGAGAAAGGAATTATGGAAGAACGTAAGAATAAGGAGGGAAAGACGTGATAAGAATAGAAGTAAAGATTTTGGGGGAAGGCGTGGGAGTTATTGCAGAGGAAGAGAGAAAACGAATAAAAAGAAAACGAGAGCATGTAGGGGGAGGAGGAAGAGGAGGTGAAGGAAGAGGAGGTAAGGGAAGAGGAGGAAGGGGATGAGGAGAAGGGCGGAAGTGAAGGAAGAGGAGGAGAGCGGCGAAAGAGGAGTAGAAGGAAGAGATGGAGGAGGAAGAAATGGAGAAAGAGGAGGAGAAGGAAGAGGAAAAGGGTAGAAGAAGAGAAGAAAGACAGAAGTGGAAGAGGAAGAGACGGGAGGAAGTGGAGGAGTAGAAGAATGAGATGGGCGAGGTAGAGAAGGAGGTGAAGGAAGAGGAAGAGATAGTGGATGAAGAGGAGGAAGCGTAAGTGAAGGGAGAGGAGAAAAGAACACAGAGGGAAGGAAAAGAAAAGGGGTTTGGGAGAGAAGAGGTGAGAAGAGGAGAGAAGAGGAGAGAAGAGGGTGACTGCCGCACATTACACACCACCAACCACTCAATACATACACTGTACAAAAGTCCCTCTCAGATCAGCGAACAAGACGACAATAACAACACAGAGGAAGACTATCGATAAATAACACGATGGAGGCAAATCTTTCTCTCTCGTTACACACACACACACACACACACACACACACACACACACACACACACACACACACACACACACACACACACACACACACACACACACACAGAGGAAGATAATCAGAATTTAGGCCAAACAAATCAACCAATCACAGGTTCACCTTTCCTACGTCATACATGCAACAATAACCAATCACAGGCCACCTTTCCTACGTCATACATGCAACAATAACCAATCACAGGCCACCATCCAGCTTCAACTTAAGAGGGAATATTAAGTTATGTGTACATTAGATTAAGCTAAGTTAGGAGTCGTTTATGTAGGGTCAAGTTTAGGTGATTAAGTTAGCTCGGGGTTAAGTTTGGATTAAGTAATGCAAGGATTAAGTCAGATCTAGGTCGGTTAAAGTTAGTTTTATGAGTTTAAATTACGATTACGCCATAGAGGGTTAAGCTGGGATTAGGTTAGGAAATAATGTTATCGTTAGATAATGGAAAATTGTTAGGCTGAAAGGTAATTTTACGTTAGGTTAAGATTAACTTCCGTACCATTAACGTTAAATTAAGCTTTCGTTAACTTCATGTACACTGACGTTAAGTTCGCGTTGTCAACCGGGGAAGTTTTTGAGTTAAGTTCACCTGAGTTAAAATAAGAGTGGTATGGGTGACAGGTATGGGTGACAGGTGTGGGTGGCAGGTGTGGGTGACAGGTGTGGGTGACAGGTGTGGGTGATAAGTGGTTGAAGGAAGGTGTTGGAGGTAATCTGGGTGATAAATGGTTTTAAGTCAGGTGGAGTGGAGAGTGTGTGTGGAAAAGCTCGCTCTTGATTGGTGAAGGAGCTCAGGTGTAACTTGTTAAGCCTCTGGAGGTGATTGGCTCCCAGATGGATTGACCTTCTTCACTCATTTAAAGACTTCGAGGTGGCAAAACCATTACTTGTGGTTAGGTTAGGTTAGGTTTCTTAAAAAATAATATAAAATGTAAAATTATATTATAAAAAGTAGAGGAATGAACTGATGCAGCGGAGGAATGAATTTTCTTCCGTCAGTGAGTGAGTGAGTGAGTGAGTGAGTGAGTGAGTGAGTGAATGAGTGAGTGAGTGAGTGAGTGAGTGAGTGAGTGAGTGAGTGAGTGAGTGAGTGAGTGACATCCTTCAACAGTAACAAAATCACTGGGTTGCTGACAGCTCTATGTAGTGGAGTTAAATTAAGTTAAAAAAAACTAATTCAAGATGATAATTTGAGGTGGATTTCGTTTGTTACTGCAGGAGGGGAGGGGGAGAAGGGGGGGGTTCTCCGTCAGCGAAAGAGTGAGTCAATACAAAATATATGACACCGGTAGCATCAACCTACACCTTCCAGTAACTTAACTTTAACGTGAGCAACCTAACCTGACCTACTCATAACCTCCCCCACCCCCTACCCCACTTCTCGGCACCCCAGAAGGCAGTGAGAGGTAATGACACAATGCCTCTCACCTGGCACAGGCACCCTCCCCCACACACACACACTTGGCACCTCAGAATTTATATATACCTGAAGTAAAGTGGAGGAACCTGATTTATTTCTGCGTCACGTGAGGCTGATGGATTGTGGGTCACGGTGAGATGGTGGATGGAGAGGGAGGGAGGGATGGAGAGGGAGGGATGGGGAGGGAGGATGGAGAGGAGGGATGGATGGATGGGAGAGGGAGTGGGATGGATGGAGAGGGAGGAGGGATGGAGAGAGGGAGGGATGGAGAGGGAGGGATGGAGAGGAGAGGGAGGGATGGAGAGGAGGGAGGGAGAGGAGGGATGGATGGATAGGGAGGGATGGATGGATAGGAGGGAGGGATAGGAGAGGGAGGGAGGGATGGAGAGGGAGGGAGGGATGGAGAGGGAGGATGGAGAGGGGAGGGATGTACAGAAACATGCAAGGTAACTGTCCCACACACACACACACAACCACCATCGCGATACACAGCCCCCGCCCTACACCCACGCTGGCCACCCACGTCCATCAAATAAGCTGCTCAGGTGAGTCACACTAATGAGAAATCTACAACCAGGTGGACATTCCTGTAGTAGGGAGCAACTGTAGTATTGATCGAGGGTGTCTGATGCTACCACCATCACCATTAACTGCCATTACCATCACTACCATCATCACCATCACCACCACCACTTCCAACATCACCTCTACCACCAACACCACTGCCATTACTACCACCAGCACTACCACCAATACCACCACTAACATTACCACCACCACCACCACCACCACAACCCAACCACTATCATCACCACCAACAACATCACTACCACCATAAGCACCATCACCACCTGACCAAACACACTTTAAATCTGGTGATCTATCCTCACAACTAACGCACTCAGGAGGTCCAGCCATCACAGTCAATGAGTTTAATCTATAGCATTAATTACTAGCAAGATGACACACGATACAGGTAGTACAAGATACCTGTAATTAAGCTCTATGCCTCTTTACCTGTCAAAATACCTGTCACCTTGGCAAAATAATCTCAGGTAAGAATTTGGTCTAAATTTATATCAACACTATTCTTCATGACACGAGACAATCAACTCCAGTGACACTTATCTGACTCATAATTAATCTATATGACACTTTATTTAATCTGTACTAACACAATAATGAGACTAATTTATAAAAAAAGTGTCTCCACCACGAGAAGATAAACGTCTTCACCTGTCCAAACTCTACTTAATTAACCCATAAGACTCTTCACCTGTCCAAACACGACTTAATAAACAACACAATTGACTTACCTTAGCCTGGGTAGACTCGTCCACGCCACTGTCATGACCCTCTTCTGAAAAAAGGGAAGGTATTAGAACAAGAGTTTGGGTGGGCGTGTGAGGTGGCTACTCCTTCAACTCTACGGACATGCCCCTTCACATTTGACTAACTATGTCCTAAATCGAAGAAAATTGACAATATTAGAAGGTCATTTTAGGGAGTTCAACTATGGCACGATATTCATTTTGGAACCTGTGTTTGTGATATGTGTATGTGATGTGTGTGTGTGTGTGATGTGTGTATGTGATGTGCATGTGTGTATGTGATGTGTGTGTATGTGTGTAGGAGGAGGAGATGCTAATGATGTTTATACCGTATGTAGTTACAGAAATAGTATGGTTGTGTGTCTATATGAGGAGTTATCATTGTGTGAATCTAAGAGAGAAAAACTTACTATTGTAATGTTAACTGTGAACGTTTTAAGGTGGCTCCTACACAAACGTTCACCCGGGTTGGTTAAGGAAAATAAACGAAAAAAAAAAAAAATATTTCACAGGTGATATTACACAAGTAGTCGAGAATCCCATAGACACACTGTTGACGTCTACAGTAAACACACAGGTTCCAAAAATGGTTATCGTGTAAACTTTGTATCCATGATGACAACTCCTACTAACTTGAAGTTCTGCATAAGTTGAATGTTATGAATATCAAGGCGTAAGGTAAAGCTATAAATATCTTTATATAATGCAAGAAGCTGTGGTGGTACATGCATTCTTCAGGGTACGGTAAGATCATGTCAAAATATCCATCATAAATGGCTGGTCATTAGCAGACATCATCCAGGAGAAAAAACAAAAAAAACAGCAAAAATACAGCCTAGGGGAAACGTCGAAAGGGAAGAGGGGGGGAGTAGGCTAGAAAATGAGGGAGAAAAGTTTGATACGAGAGGGGAAAAATTGGCTAAGAGAGGGAGAGAGAGAGAGGGTAGGGGGCGACTAGTGAGAGGTGGATGACATACTGTTTACCTGAGGGTGGCGCGGCCGGGAAGCCACTCACTCTTACATTGGTGATGACGCAACACCTGCGCCAACACTCGCCTCAGCACTGCTCTCTACCTTAATACTCATCTAGAAGCTAAAGGATTCACTAATGTATAGCCAACGTTAGTAAAACACACACACGCACGCACACTCACACATAGGAAAGAGGAACATATAATTCCCACAGTGTTTGTGTTGGACTGTGAGGGTGAGACTAAGGGCAAAATTTCATCTTTCTAACAATTTTCATAATATTGGATTCCAATTGGTTTCAGAGGCGAGGCTAAGCTGGTCCAGGGATGCTAAGCGTCTAGTCTCCCACTGCCGCACAAGACGATACAGATGATGGGGGTAAAAATAAAAGCCTCTCTTGGGTTCATGCAGTGGCCTGCGGGATCCACAGACTGATGGATGGGCGTGGGGGGGCAGCTTGGTGGCGGGCGTGTGTGGTGGGCGTGGTCAGGTGACGAGCCGCCCCTGACCCCGGCCAGAGACCACCCGTCCACTGTGTCAGGTCACGGGGCCGGTCGTGTTCCTGCACCCCCAAACTGTACAAGAGTCACAGTGCGCCGCCGCAGCAGCAGCAGCCAGCGAGTGACGCCCCAGGAGTGAGATGTCGTGCCTGCCGTGTACAACTCTGGCTGTTGTGACAGACAAGAAGCTGCGCCGGTGACATGCTATCTGCCGGTGCCAGGTGTGGTAAGAGTGGAGTGTGGCTGCCATGCACTGTGTGGAGTGTGAGGGGGACGCTCTCTACTGAGCCTGGTGCTGATGAGGGCGGTCTGTGCGCTACATGCTTCAGAGTCATATCAAAACAATAAGAGAGGCTCCTCCACAGGCAGCGTGTTGATATCACTGTGACAGCATGAAGGCGACGGTGGTGGCTACTCAGTACAGAGCGAGCCGTGTGTGGTGGTGGCCCCTGATGGTGAGTGTAGCGTGTGGACCAGGGGAGGAAGCGTCTGTCCTGCTCCCTCACGCACACCCTACACTCCACTCAACCTCTACTTCTCTTTTCTACCCCTATAAACAAACTAATGGAGTTTTAACAATTTAGAACACTAGATACCGCTGCATATATGCATAAATATATATATATAATACAGGTACAAGTCCAATCAATAATTTGTCATATAGTGTAGCTACTGAGAGATGACGTGTGACGAGAACTTTACAGAGTGTGACGGAATGGGACGACGGAGGTGCAGGGACAGGGAGGTCTTCCACGGGTACACAACAAGCATATATGAGAAACTCTGTCAACAGTGACCTGGTAAAGCATACAGTGAAGAACAATAATGGAAGACATTAGCAGAGTAAACAATATAAAAATCCGTGCATATAAGATGGTGGGCCTCATGGTGGCTGGGTCGTGAGACCATACACACACTGCAGTGGACGCCTATTGAGATGTGGACATCACTGGAGAAACTCCTGAGGACGTCAAAAGCCGAGACAGTCTACCTGTGGACGCTAATGTGCACGCCCACTCTTGAATACCTTGTGTCAGCAAGTACTGTTGCTACAGGGGGCACCATGGAAGGTCACTGGGTCTCCGTTTCAAACTTTAGTGGGCTTGTTGTGTGGTTGTACGATGACCCGACATGGTCACTTGACGCACGTCCACTGATTTCTCAATTTTTTTTGTGTCATTTATGGGGGTTCAATCCTACTAACACAAGATATTTAAGCTGGTCCAGACTACGGGGCCCACAACAATATTTGGGGAGCACTTCCCATTAACAAAAGAATGGGAAATGCACCCCGCAAGGCCCACACAGCGGCTGGTGCCACGCGCCTACTTCACTACGACTACAGCATCAGGCTAAACACAGCTGGGCGGACACTCCTCCCACTACACCCCAACTACTACTTTATCTTACACTCACACCTACTACACCCAGCCAATAACATCTCTATTCGAATATTTGGATCTTACCTCCACACTCTGGCTAAGTACTGTACCTGCCCACACCTGACCCTTGGCATTGAGTCTGTAACCTAAACTAATGGTGTACAGAGTCTGGCTGTGTTGTTGTGATGGTGGTGGTGATATTGATGGTAGTGGTGGTGATAGTGGTGGTGATGGTGTTGTTGGTGGTGGTATTGTTGGTGTCAGGTGAACTCTCCTAGCTGGCCCAAATCTCGTGACTCTCCATTTTTTACTAGAAGGGAAAGGTCCACCACACCTATTGATTGGATAAATACCTGACTCTTCCTGGCTGCCTGTGTGGTGCTCTCAAGAGGTGTGTGTGTGTGTGTGTGTGTGTGTGTGTGTGTGTGTGTGTGTGTGTGTGTGTAAATCCTATACTGTATCTTCAATCCCATTTCTCTCACAATTCTAGGCTATATATCAAGTCCTAATGAGAGTGAAACAGGAAAATGGAACTAGACTTTGAAATTTCCCCCAAAACAACAACACTGTCCAAAGTCGTCTAACAATGAGAACCTAACCTAACCCAACCTAACATGGGGAAATTACTCCTTATTAGTTTATTTCTCCAAGGGTTTATTTTTTTCCCTCTATTTTCTTGATTTTCCTTTTTGTTATTATTTCTTCCTTTATCCCCCTTTCCTTTGGTCCTAACCTCTCTTCCCCTATTGTGCCTTACCTCTGTGTCTCACCAAACCCCCTCACTGCCACCGCGAGAACATGACCTTGGCACCGCGAGAACATGACCCTGGAAACATGACTTGACTCTTTAGGAACATGCCCCGACTCTACAGTGCTTGTGGGAGGTGTGTCTGCCCGCGTGTGTGAGGTGGCAGCAACGTGAGGGTGTAGCATAGCTGGCTTGGCGGCGTCGCAAGGCCTGGCCAACCTAACCTGACTTCCACGCCCAGTCCGCCCCCCTTCCCGACGCGACTCCTGCCTCCTCCTCCTCCTCCTCCTCCTCACCTCATCCCCATCCTCCTTAAAACGTTCCCCCTTCTCCTCGGGCTTTCTGAATTGATCACAAACGTTTCATATCTGGATCTCTGAATCAAAATCACAAACGTTTCCCCATCTGATGAGAAAAGTATTATTGAAGTGAATAAAACTTTGAAAGAATTAGTAGGGTTTTTTTTTTATCGTAGTCCAAAAAAATATGAATTAAGCCTCAAACTTGATGTTACTCAAGTTATCAGCTTATGGAAACGCCTTTGTTTACATTATGGGGGAAGATTTTTTTTTTTTTAAGTTACCAACGAGAAATATTTTGTCTATATGAGGTTGGGTTGGTGAGGGAGGGTAGGGAGAGGAGCGAAGAGGGGGAGGGGGAGGCAGGCGGGGGTGGGAAGGGGAGCACACCTGCACTCCCGTAGAGGCAGGACCCACGACCCACCCTTCGCACCTGCACGTTTCCGTCGGGCAGACTTGCGGGGTCTCTTAGCTGACACTGTCTTCTTCTTTTCCTTTGGCTCTTCCTCTTCCCCTTCCTTAGCTTCTCCTTCTTCCTTTCCTCCTTTTTCTTCATCTTCGTCTCTCTTTTCCTCTTGTTCGCCGGGCGCCTCTTCTTCTTCTTCCTCCTCCTCCTCCTCCTCCTTAGCTCCCTCTTCCTCTTCTTTAACCTCTTCTTCACCTTCGTCGCCTGCCGCCGCCTCCTCCTCTTCCTTTCCTTCTACTTTCTCTGTTTCCTTCTCCTTTTCTTCTTCCTTCTTCTCCTCCTCCTCCTTCGCTTTATCACTCGCTTTAACTGGTTCCTCTTTCGCCTCTTCTGTTACTTCTACTTTATCCAATTTCTCTGTCTGCTGCACTTCTGATTCCTCCTTCCCAGCATCATCGTGTGTCGCCTTTGCCTTGTCTTTCGTAACCTCTTTCTCTTCCTTCGCCTTATCGTCTACTTTGTCTTCTTCCTTTGGTTTTACGACTTTGTCTTCTTTTGCCTTTTCTTCTACTTCCTTCGCTTCTTTCTTTTCCTTCTCTTCCTCTGCTTTTTTCTCCTCTTTCTCTACTTTCTTCTCTTCTTTCTTTTCCTCTTCCTCCTCTGGTACTGCTACTTTCTTTTCTTTCGCTTTCTTCTCTTCTTCTTTTTCTACTTTCTTTTCTTCTAACTTCTTATCTTCCTCTTTCTCTACTTTCTTTTCTTCCTCTTTCTCTACTTTCTTTTCTTCCTCTACTTTCTTCTCTTCTTCTTTCTCTACTTTCTTCTCTTTTTTCTCTACTTTCTTTTCTTCCTCTAATTTCCTCTCTTCTTCTTTCTCTACTTTCTGTTCTTCTAATTTCTTCTCTTCCTCTTTCTCTACTTTCTTTTCTTCCTCTACTTTCTTCTCTTCTTCTTTCTCTACTTTCTTTTCTTCCTCTACTTTCTTCTCTTTTTCTTCCTCTACTTTCTTTTCTTCTACTTTCTTCTCCTCCTCTTTCTCTACTTTCTTTTCTTCCTCTTTCTTCTCTTCTACTTTCTTTTCTCCCTCTTTCTTTTCTTCTACTTTCTTCTCCTCTTTCTCTACTTTCTTTTCTTCCTCTACTTTCTTTTCTTCCTCTCTCTTCTCTTCTACTTTCTTCTCCTCTGTCTCTACTTTCTTTTCTTCTTCTTTCTTTTCCTCTACTTTCTTTTCTTCTTTCTTTTCCTCTACTTTCTTCTCTTCTTTCTTTTCCTCTACTTTCTTTTCCTCTACTTTCTTCTCTTCTTTCTTTTCCTCTACTTTCTTCTCTTCCCCTTTCTCTACTTTCTTTTCTTCCGCTACTTTCTTTACTTCCTCTTTGTCTACTTTCTTCTCTTCTACTTTCTTTTCCTCCTCTTTCTCTACTTTCTTCTCTTCCTCTTTCTCTACTTTCTTCTTCTCCTCTTTTTCTATTTTCTTCTCTTCCTCTACTTTCTTCTCCTCTTTTTCTACTTTCTTCTCTTCCTCTACTTTCTTCTCCTCTTTTTCTACTTTCTTCTCTTCCTCTACTTTCTTCTCCTCTTTTTCTACTTTCTTGTCTTCCTCTACTTTCTTCTCCTCTTTTTCTACTTTCTTCTCTTCGTCTACTTTCTTCTCCTCTTTACCCTTATCTCCTTTCTCCTCCTTTGCATCAGTAACATCGAGTTCATCCTCCTCTTCATCTTGTGTTTTGTCTTCTTCTGATTTATCACTGTCTTTACCTATTCCACTTTCTTTCTCTGACTCGCTTTCCTTCCCCTCCTCTTCCTCTTTACTCTTCTTCTCCTCCTCCTCTTTACCGACTTCTTCCGTTTTACTTTTTTCTTCTGTTTTACTTACTTCCTCCTCTTTTTTACTCTTGTCTTCCTCTTTACTCTTTTCCTTCTCTTTAGTTTTGTCTTCTACTTTACTCTTATCTTCCTCCTTAGTTTTGTCTTCTACTTTACTCTTATCTTCCTCCTTAGTTTTGTCTTCTACTTTACTCTTTTCTTCTACTTTAGGCTTTTCTTCCTCCTTAGTTTTGTCTTCTACTTTGCTCTTATCTTCCTCCTTAGTTTTGTCTTCTACTTTACTCTTATCTTCCTCTTTAGTTTTGTCTTCTACTTTACTCTTTTCTTCTACTTTAGGCTTTTCTTCCTCCTTAGTTTTGTCTTCTACTTTGCTCTTATCTTCCTCCTTAGTTTTGTCTTCTACTTTGCTCTTATCTTCCTCCTTAGTTTTGTCTTCTACTTTGCTCTTATCTTCCTCCTTAGTTTTGTCTTCTACTTTGCTCTTATCTTCCTCCTTAGTTTTGTCTTCTACTTTACTCTTATCTTCCTCCTTAGTTTTGCTCTTATCTTCCTCCTTAGTTTTGTCTTCTACTTTACTCTTATCTTCCTCCTTAGTTTTGTCTTCTACTTTACTCTTATCTTCCTCCTTAGTTTTGTCTTCTACTTTACTCTTATCTTCCTCCTTAGTTTTGTCTTCTACTTTACTCTTATCTTCCTCCTTAGTTTTGTCTTCTACTTTACTCTTATCTTCCTCCTTAGTTTTGTCTTCTACTTTACTCTTATCTTCCTCCTTAGTTTTGTCTTCCTCTTTACTTGTATCTTCCTCCTTTTCCCCTACTTTACACCTCTCTTTCTCCTTCTCGTCTTCCTTTCCCTTTTCCTCCTCTTTCTCCTCGGCGTCCCCCTTCTGCTTTGACTTTTCACCACCTTCGGCGCCGTTTTCACCACCTGCGGCGCTGTTTTCACCACCTGCGGCGCTGTTTTCACCACCTGCGGCGCTGTTTTCACCACCTGCGGCGCTGTTTTCGCCACCTGCGGCACCCTTTTCACCACCTGCAGCGCCCTTTTCACCACCTGCAGCGCCCTTTTCACCACCTGCGGCACCCTTTTCACCACCTGCGGCACCCTTTTCACCACCTGCGGCGCCCTTTTCACCACCAGTGGTAACTTTATCACTTACAGGCATTTCCTTATCACTTTTCGCCCCATTTCTCGTCGTCTTCTGGGTCGAGTCTTTATCCTCGGCTGTTTTGTCCTCCTTCCCTGTTTTATCATCGTCTTTGCCTGTTCCGTTTTCCGTGGCTGTGTCTTCATCCTTGCCGTCGTCCTTCTCTTTCTCCTCCCGGTCCGCCTTTTCCTTGGCACCTTCCTCCTCTTTTTTCACTTGTTCTTGATCGTCTTTCTCCTTCTCCTCGTCCTCATGCTTCTCCTTTTCCACTTTGCCCTCACCCTCAGTCTGTCCCTCTTTCCCTTTCCCACCATCACCTTCACTACCTGTTGCACCTTGCCCATTACCTGCCCCGCGCGCCTCTACGGTCGCCGACGATTCCCGAGTTGAATCTTCCCTTGAACTGGCTCCTTTCTCTCCCTGTGTTGGCGTTACCCCTCTGTCGTCGGTCGAGCCGTCTACTGATGACCCGTCGCCGCCAGGGTCACTGCCTCTGTCGTCGTCTACGGGGTGTTGGTCGCCGTTGGCTGCTCTGCCGTCGATGACGATGGAGATGGCTGGTCCGGCGCCCTGGGTTTTCGCCTTAGCGCCAGTCTGTTCCTCGTCCTTCTTGGCATCTTTCCCGCACGGCTCCTCTGCCTTGCTCGCCGCGTCTGCCTTATCGCTTGGTTTGTCTTGCACGCCTTTATCCTTGGGCGTGTCTGCGGGGACGTCCTGCTGGGGTTTAGGTGGCGTGGGGGTGGCTGCGGTGCTCACACTAGCCTTCCCGTTCACAGACCCGTTCTGTTTGACGGCTACAGACGACGGCTGCACCACCACGTCGTCGTTGTCGTCGTGTTCCTGTTTACCGTTGGCCGCACTGCCCACTTTCTCCATCTTGGTGACGTCGACGCCTGGGGAGGGTTGAGGGGCCTTAACGGTGACTGTGGTCGCAGGAGCTGGTGCCTCAGGCTTGTGGTCCGCCACCTTCGCCTCCACCGTCGACACCTGTACACATAACCATCAGCCAACAGCACAAGTCAGGGGGAAGCAACACTAAATACCCAGACCCGGACCAGGGACTGCAAACGTTTAATAAGTCAAGTTAGGTTATGTGAGATGACGTCAAGAGTAGGTTAAGTAGGGAATGGGGTTCATTAGGTTAGGTTAAGTTAAATTTAGTTAGGGGTAAGTTAAGTTAGCCTTGAGGTAAGCAAGATTAAGTTAAGAGTATAATCCGGGTCTGGGGGGTTGAGCGAGTCCCCAGGTGAAGTTAAGTGTAACCACAAATTCTGCATCAGTAATGTCATGACAGAGAGCAAGAGTTGGCGGGGCTAAAGGGGAGGGCCTCACCTGGGCTGGCGGGGGCGGATCAGCTGGCCTGGTGGCGGCACCGTTCGCTGCGCCAGGGTCCATCACGACTCTGCAGAGATGGCCACCTGTCATCCTCTCTCTCTCACTCAAACTCACAAGAACACAATTCACATACATAAACATACACGTTCTGTATCACTCACAAACAATTTATTCTTTCCTCTTTCACAAACATATACTTCACATTCTTTCACATACACGCATTTGCACACACACACACACACACACACACACACACACACACACACACACACAGTACACTGCCACACTCCGACTTGAACCAAAACAGTCGACTTGAAAAAAGGTGTAATACTCGTCCTATACATCGGTGATATGTCCAGAATTTGAGCCCTCCCCCAGCTTATTTCACCTGATGATTAAACACCATAACGGCACCTGGGAATGAGAGGTTAGGTTTGGTTCGGTTTGGTTTGGTTAGGTTAGGTTAGGGTAATTCATCTGAAGTTGAAATAAGCTGGAGGTTCAATATTCACGTCTAGTTGTGTCTTTCTCAAAATTGTTTGACCTTTGACCTCTTGACTGATACAGCCGGCACTAATCTCCCTACTCACGAGGCGAGGTTAATACGCACCTCCAATATTACGTAGTCAAAAAGAGTAAATACTAAAATACGCCATTTCTAGTAAAACACAGTACTGGACCCTAAACTAGAGCCTGGGTACTATTTATAGTAAAAGTTAATCTAACCCAAACTAAGTTACTGTGTCAATAACCCAATTTCAGTGTTTCGTGGCGCTGACTCTAACCTTTGACCTACCAACATAATCAATACGGATCTTCCTAGTCACGTGGGACACCACCAGTGAAGCCTCAACTTGGGGTTCACGTGATCTAAAGCGTCTAATAACGGATGAGCGCACACACAAACAACCTAACGACCAAGCCTAACTGCCAACTGGGACCTGTCCACCAGAAGAGGCCTAAGACTATAACAATACTGTACACGTAACTAGAGGCAACAGGTGGTGGTCAGACGCCAGGAGACCGGTAGGTGTATGAGGCAGCACAAGGCCAAGAGTAAAGGTGATGGCGAATTCTGAGCGGAGGCGTCATAAACTTTCCACCTTAATTACACCACTGGACAATGACGGGCGAACCTGCAGCACTAAACAGCATCAGCAACAACAAGTGCAGCAGGTTCGGAGGTTGACTGTAGCCAGCTCAGCCTCCGGGGACAGAACCATCAAGGGCGTGAATGATGTAAACACACTCCCTGGGTAGTCTTGGTGGAGTCTCTGGCCTGGGATACGACACCACACACCGAAAGGTCAGACCAACACCCTCAGGGCCCTGTATACCACGGCGGAGGGGAACCACGAGAGAGAGAGAGAGAGAGAGAGATGGAGAGTCAATGAAGTGAAGAGATAAGCGAAATAGAGAAGAGAAGAGGGTTTAGAGAAGAGAAGAAATAGAGAACTAGACGGTATATGATATGTGGATTACTCAAACCATGACAGCTCAAGAGTCCCCCCTTCCTCCCTCTCCCCCAACCCACGACCACCAACCCACAGGTCTCCCCCCCACCCACGTCATGGCCCCTCCTCACCCAAGGCTCATCATGTTGAATAAAGGCAAAACTATAAATAAATACAAGAGAGAGACTCGTTATCTCCCCCTGGCCTCCACACACCCAGGCACACCTGACCTCTACTCACCCTGGCCTCCACACACCCAGACACACCTGACCTCTACTCACCCTGGCCTCCACACACCACACCCCTGACCTCTACTCACCCTGGCCTCACACCCAGACACCCTGACCTCTACTCACCCTGGCCTCCACACACCCAGACACACCTGACCTCTACTCACCCTGGCCTCCACACACCCAGACACCCTGACCTCTACTCACCCTGGCCTCCACACACCCAGACACCCTGACCTCTACTCACCCTGGCCTCCACACACCCAGACACACCTGACCTCTACTCACCCTGGCCTCCACACACCCAGACACACCTGACCTCTACTCACACTGGTCTCCACACACCCAGACACCCTGACCTCTATTCACCTTGGTCTCCACATGCCTTGATCTCCACACGCCTTGGTCTCCACATACCCTGATCTCCACACGCTCTGGCCTCCATACACCCCCTGGCCTCCATACACCCCGGCCTCTACACACAACTAACCTCTTTTCTTTCACATGCTCTGTCTAAATACACCCAGGTGCTATTTAATTATCATCCTACACCTGTGTAAACATTCCCTCCACCACCACCTTCCCTCCACCACCACCTTCCCTCCACCACCACCTTCCCTCCACACCCTCTCCCCCAGTCCCCCTTCCTCACCCCATTCTCCTATTTACCATTTAATATCTTCCCCTTCCCTTCTCTTCTCTTCTCTATCTCCTCCCTCTTCATCCACTCTCCCCTCCACCTCCCCTTCATAACCCCATCAGTTATCCTTTCCTCTCCTCTCTCTTCCCTCCTATTCCCTCTATCCCCTATCCCCCCTTCCATCCACCTTTATAACAAATGAGTGAAGAAGGAATCAAGATAAAGAAGGTAACCGAGCAATGAGAAAAAGGAGAGAGAGAGAGAGGAGAGAGAGAGAGATGTAAATAAATAGCATAATATATCACCATTACCAGCTGAAGGGAGATCTTGTTAGGTGGTTAGTGGACAGGAGCAGGAGTCTCTCAAGGGCCCTTCCTACCACACACTGATGCCCTCCCGACCCTCGCACTCCACGCACCGAGAGAGAGAGAGAGAGAGAGAGAGAGAGAGAGAGAGAGAGAGAGAGAGAGAGAGAGAGAGAGGTAAGAAAGATAGACAGACAGACACAATAAAGTGTATATACAGCTGACAACTAGAACTAACCTAGTCTTAAATTCTAATGTGGGGGAAGGGGGGGGGTTAAGTGTCTACGCAGGAAGGGGGGTTAATTGTCTTCACGTAGGGGAGGAGGTAATAGAATAAGAAGGAGGAGGAGGAGGGTGAGTTTAGACCATCCAGCATCCTAGTAAACGAGAAGATCCTCGTCGCCACGCCCATGATGCTGCGCCACGCCTATGAGACAGTGACGTCAACATCCTCCTCCTCCTACCCCCCTCCCTCCCCCCCTCATCTTCCCTAGCGTCGCCGGCTGCCTCCACCGTCAACACAATGGCACACGTCCCCATCACCAAGGTTATCTGTCTGTCCTACACCAGCCACACACACACACACACACACACACACACACACACACACACACACACACACACACACACACATTAACCTCCTCGTTTCTCAGATCGTCTTAAAGAGAGGAAAATTTCTTCACACACACACTTCTGGAGGTAACTGTATCTTGTCGCTGTCTCCGTTTACAGCACTGCTCTCTCTCTCTCTCTCTCTCTCTCTCTCTCTCGAGCTAGGTCAGGGCAGCAGGTACCGTCCCAGACGCTGTGTATCGACGTGAGTGTGTCGGGATATTGACTGTGATATTACTACATTCTCACGACCGACACCTGCTTATTGGTGTCCTGCCAGGTGAAGCAAGGCTAGGGTGGGGAAGGGGAGAGAAGAGGGGAAGGGGGAAGGGGGAGAGGGGGAGAAGAGGGGAAAGTGAGTGAGGGAGGGAGTAAGAGAGAAAGGACGAGGAAAGCTTCAAAAGGACAGAATAGGGTAAGAGGAAGGAAGAAATGAGGGAGGGAGGGATAAATGTGTGTGTGTGTGTGTGTGTGTGTGTGTGTGTGTGTGTGTGTGTGTTGGATTAAGTTCATTTGGGTGTAAAGGAGTTGTATTTGCGGTTGGGTGTGACGTGTAAATGGGAGTAAGTGGGTGTAGGTGAGACAGGTAAGTGGGTGTAGGTGAGACAGGTAAGTGGGTGTAAGTGGATGTGGGTACAAGAGTATAATTGGGTGGGTATCGGTGTAGGTAGGTGAGGGTGGTGGGTGGTTGGGTGGGTGGGGTTATAAGAACAGGTGTGACTTCAAATGGGTGTGGCTGCAGGTAAATGGGTGTGGAACGGACCAGCATGACGATACACACACACACACAGACACACACACACACACACACACACACACACAGATAGCAGGTGGGGGTGCATAACAACTTGGTGGCTACAGTCGATACACCTCGCATTCCTGACCTACAGTGACCACTCCACCTACCACACTACTGAGGTATCCGATTCAGCTGGAGGCGTGGTGGTGGTGGTGATTGACGGGAGGAGGGGGGGTGACGGGGCCCTAACAATAATTCAAACAAACCAACAGATTATTAACAGGTGTGGAGTTAATGAGGATAAGCTGATGTACAGGTGTCAACAGGTGTACTTAGCAGCCTAACGTTACCGTGCAGGTGATGGAGAGGCCAAGTTAACAGCAGACAAACACTCAGGCATACCATAACACTCCACCATCCCACTGTGCCCTCCCCCCCTCTCTCTTCCTTACCCTTCCACCCTCTTACACCCACTTCCATATTTCCCCTCTCATAACTATCCCTCACCTCCCTCCCCCTCTCATAACAATCCCTCACTCCCCTCCCCTCTCATAACCCCCTCATTTCCCTCTCCTCCCACGCCCTCTCACTCACCAAGAAGAATTTAATTTCCTAAAAGCTTCAGGTCATTTGATAGAGGGAAGTAGTTCCTCGTTGTCAACACCCTTGTTTCCTGGACATAATTAGAGTGGCTTTTAAAAACTCGTAAAATCAGTGTATAATTTATGTGTTTATATCTTCGTTAACTAACTTACTGATTATTATTATTATTATTATTATTATTTATTCATTTTGATGTTATTACTATTATTATTATTATTATTATTATTAACGTTATCATTATTACTATTATTATCACTTATTATTATTATTATTATTATTATTATTATTACTATTATTATTATTATTTATTATTATTATCATCAATGGTTAAAAATATCTAGACGAAATAAATTAATATAATACAAATTGGAGCTAAATTTACCGGGGTCTGGTTTGTTGCTTGGCGTAAATTATTATCAATTATACATGTACTATAATTCTGGTTGTAATTATCGTGTGTATTCATGTGTTATTAGCTGAAGGG